TTTCCTTTATTTAAACATTCCTTTTTTTTCCCCATACTTTATTAAATTTTCATTCAAGACTAAGTGCAAAATATAAGATTATCACTAAAATTATCAACAGCTACAAGATTACCTATTCATTTCTAGCAGTGATACTTGCATAAGCATTACTTTGGTCTATAATGCAAAGCCCTTTGGGTAAAAAAATTATTTATATTCCAGTCACCTGATTTGTACAAAGAGATATCATTGATGACATTAAGAGTGTCAAGTACACTCGCTATGGGGGGAAAATTACCTGATTTGTACAAAGACGATGCCGTTGATGACTTTTTAGAGTGTCGAGCACGCTCGCTATAGAGGGAGTCTGAATGGGAGGGGTGGTAAGGTTATACTCTTCTCTCCCTTGTAGATCTCGTTCATTTTCTTCTAAAACACGACGGCTTGTTGTGTCAGGTGTTTAAGGCATTCCCGAGCTCTCCTTTGTTTTTTCTCATGTTCCTCTCCCAGCAAAAAAAAATATATACACAATAATCAGTTTCAATTTATACATCTCATTCCCTGATTTATCCTAATATTTACTCTTAAAGTTTATACAATAGTAATATTATAATTCACTCACCGTTTGTTTGTAGATGGCATAAGCCTCTTTTTCACTCTGTAGAGCCGCCCGGGAAATCTCCACGGCAGGAATGAGTCCTAGCAACCAAGTAAAAACCTTTCCAACCTTCATGTTCTTTGACCAAAATATCTGAATAGAAAAAAAATACAATGACATTTTACTCTTTGTACATTTTTAACTGATAAAACAGAATTAAGTGATAAATTGATGTATTTTGTTTTCAGGTGAAAACAAATCTGACTTTGTATTGATTTCCCCAGAGCATGCTCCAGGAACCTCAGGGACAAATCAAACTCCTCGACAGCGTGGAGAATCAGTCCAACATTGCTCTGTGAAAGACGAGTTTAGTAATATTATCAAGCATTAATTACCAGTTTACATCAACAACCTAAGAAGACCACTCATTTTATAACTAAATATACAGGTATATTCTATAAATTTTAATCAGATCTTAAAAATATACATGTTCTACTAATCTCCTTAGAATTTACAGTTTACTGTTTTTGTATCTCTATTTGACCATTAAGTACTACCAGTGCTAAATTTGTTTGACCTTTGAGTACTTACATCAATCAGTGCCACCTCTGGATGATCCTCTCCGTGACAAAGTAAAGCCAGATATCGTGTTCTGTATATCAACCTTAGAGCACTGGACACCTGACTGTTGGCAAAGCAGTACAGGGCAAGATGGGCCTGAAGAATAAATTTCAAAGATTAAGTTTTCCAAAACCCAGGAATTTGAATTTAGAAATAACATTTCAACTTCGGTAGCTCTACTTACATATTCAGTGATTGTATTTGGGTTATCAATGCCCAAGACCCCGTTCACTCATTAAAACTGCCCTTTTGGAAAGCATGGCCTACAAGAAACATTTAAGATGTTTTATGTACAGTTTCAATGAAAATAAAATGATTACAGTGCCATCTACTGGCTGTAAAATGTTTTATGTACTGTTTCAATAAAAAATAACAAAAGATCACAGAGAGATCTACTGGCATTAAATCCCTACCTCTTTCCCTATTCTCCCATGATGTAATTGAGGCGAGCGAGAAATCGAAGACACGCGGCGATTTTCTTTGGGGAAGAGCTCCGTAAAAACGTTGTTCAGAAGATTGAGTGCCTCACTGATCAAGTCGTAGCCCTCCCCAGTAAAAAACCCCGCTGGATCTTATTCTGTCCACTCTGAAAAAATGATAAGCATCGGAGGCCTGTAAAAGCAATGTTTTCATTTAAGTTTAAATTTTAAAACTCTAATGTTAAGCAACTTATACAATATGCTTCTCAAAGCTGTGTCAGTAATAAACACAATACCTTGGGGTGAATATGTTTGGAACAGGGAAAACGTTCACAATATCTTCTTCATTAAAGATCTGTTTGTTCTTGATGTCCAGGTTGTATTCCTAGGAACACTTCAGACAGGAGATTTCAAAATGACATTCAACTTGATTAAACTAGGAACATGTTTAAAAAAAAACATTGCTTTAAAATGAAGAAAATATTGTAAATCAACTATTATTTGCGTTATCTTTTATTTGCTATTTTTCAGTTTAAATTCAGTATGCAAGATTTTCAGGACTGAGGAAATATTCTCTACAAATACAGAGCAAAATAAATGGTTCATGGCTATTAGTATTCAGGAGTTGATGTAGGTCTCAAACCCCCAAGATATTTCTTGCACATGAAAAACTTGGTTTACAATATCTGATGATTAAGGTAGGACAAAATACCTGTGGATTCTATTTTAACTCATATCTAAAAAAGTAATGGAGAAAAAATATTACTAAATTGACAAAAATGAATGACCCCTGTAAGAAAATTAATAAGTTTTGGCAGGTTTGTGAAAAAATAAAGAAACCCTATATATTAGTCGACACTTGGGAGCTTACATTTTAAGTGCAATAAACAAGCATGTAACAGTCTGTTATTAAATGCAGTGTAGCTTTTGTTCCATAAATAGTTGAGGGCTGATATTTGGACACTTATATAAGGAGTCTCCATTCTTTATGTACTACAAAGGTCAAGGTCAAATCAAGAGATCAAAGGTCAAAAATTGTGACGTCATCTTCTGAGTCTTTTAGTTTTTTTGCCATTGAAATTTTTTAAATCGCCAAATTATCTGAAACCACTGGTTCAATTTTCCTTATTTTTACACTTTTTATTCTAAGACCCATTTGAATCATTCTATTATTTTTTCGTAAAAATTGAATTATACATTTTCTCTTCAGAAAACTTAAACTATCGGATATTTACATGTGATTTTTCAATTCCGACATAATGTATGTTCTATTTTTACTTAATATTTTACCCATATTTTCCAGTATCAATATGACTTACTGATTTAAAGTAACAAAAAGGTTATCTTTATTAAAAGTATTACACAAATTTGAATGGATCAATGAATAATTCTAAAATAAGGCTCATTCTCAAGTCAAATGTCTGATTTCACAATCTTCTTACAGGGGTCTGATAGGCCATATTTCAGACTATTTGGGCAAAAAATGTGTTGTTGAATTTCTTTCATATCATAGACTAGTATAAAGAGAGATTTTGTATCCAAGAACAAAATGTCAAAGTTTCAGAAAAAATTGAATTTCAGGAAAAATTTGGCCTATCTATTGTGTCCTACCTGAAGTTATGTTAATACATCAAAGTGTTTCTTCTCTTCAATATTAGTCAATTGTCTAAAAGTTGTTAGATAAGTTTTTCTAAGTAGTTTTTCCTCTGTGTATATCAGTAAGTCTTGTCTGTTAGTTTGTCTATCAGTCTGTTTCTATCAGGTAGTCGGACGTCCATCTCAAAATGCATCAGTCACACTGTTTATGTTAGTTTGTGCCGTCTAGTCACGCAGTCCTTGTCTGCGTTTATAAGTCAAGAAGTAGTCTTTTATTTTTCTGTCTATAATTTTGAAGATTTTGAGTGGGTTTAGCTAACAGCACTTAGTGATAGTGAAAATTACGGTTCTTTGGTTTTCATTTTAGAGATGGACTTCAGGGGGCCGATTGACCATCATGTTGTATGTATATAAAAACAGAGCGCGACTTTCGTATGAACACAGAGAGGTGTACTCTGAATTCTATGATGTACAAATTATCCTGATTAAATATTTTGAAGATAACAAACTCTTATCAAACTCAAGAGTGTCCATTGAAATATATTAAAACGGGAGCAGAGAAAACATGATTTTTACCTCTAAAAATTAATAACAATTCAGGGGTGTGATCAGGTGTCATGGAGAAGTAATCATCTCCTGTTGACACTGCTAGGTGCTCCTTGTCATGATCAGACAAAAGGGAAAAAATCAAAATACGTCAGTCAGCCATGCTTGTAAAATCAAAACTTCACTACTTTAAAAAAAAATTGATCGTCGTGCAGCAATCACGAAAGAAAGGAGCCAGTGAAAATTTGATTTTTATTAGAAGGGTAAATCAAGAAAAAAATTATTTGCTGACAATATCTTTGTACTGACCATGGAATTGTTGAAATGTTAACTTTAAACAAGACTGTTAGTAGTATAAGCATTCCCGCTAGGGGAAGATTCTGATTGGCTGAGAGAAATTTGTGATCAGTTCTGAGTTGAGGGGATCAAGTGGGTCATGTGTGGAGTTCTACCCTAACCCCTTATCCCCCCTAACCCTAACCCTAACCCTAGCCCTTATGCTAACCCTAACCCTAGCGCTAATGCTTATGCTAACCCTAACCCTAACCCTAACTAACCCTAGACCCTGCTAACTAACCCTATCCCCCTAACTAACCCTAACCTATTCGCCTTAAATACTGGAGTTGTTTACACTGTTTACATGGGTACGTAGGTACTACGTTTTTTTGTTTATGCTGACTGCACAGGTAAAAATGCGCCGTGTGCAAAAAACATTTCAAGAATGTGATTATGACGTCACGCTTCAGAGTCTAGACAGTCTAGCCTAACCGGTTCAAACTGGTTTTAGTGAAAACATAGACCTAAAGCGAAGGGATCGCCGACTCCTATGACGTCACAATAGATATCACTAAACGCAGTTTGCGATTGCAGCGCCCTCACCGGGATGTAGTAGAAAACATCCGGCAGTACAAAGATTACGTTATTTACACCTACATTGTCGAGATATTTTAGCATGGAATGAATTAAACTTTTGCCGAATGTACCAAATTCTTTTTACTAATACACTAAAGAGTTCTTTGAGCAGCTTTTGAGGTATTTATCTTGTTTTTAAGTGTATAAAAAGCTATACAGTTTGAGTATTTAACATGACAGATGATGACCATGATCAAAGAGAAGCTGTCAAATTGCATGTGAGGTTGCTCAAGATGCTGCTCGATGAAAAAAAAGTTCATATATAAGAAACAGATAGGCCCATTGATACGTGAATTTTTTAAAGAGCAAACATCTTATGCTTAATAGCAGTGTTTGAACGCTATATCGCAACAGACCCCTATGCATGACTAGGGTACAGTAACACAAGTAATGAGTACTAAGAGGAGTATTCTTTGGCAAGCCTATATCCACCCCATTTTTTTTATTATAATGTAGGCAAGAAGTTCGATCCTACACCCCCCCCCCCCAACCCACCCCCGACAGGATTTACGAGTTTGTACGAAATGAATACACATTTGCTTTTTTTTTTTCAGCTTGTCTAACTTTTTTAGGGTTTGAAATTTACCATAGGGCTAAAAGGGATAAAGTTGTTCCCATTTAAATATGATTCTTTTAATATAAAAAAAGAACATTTTCCCTAAATTCCTACCTAACAAGGTATAGGGAGTATAATTTCATAAAAAGAAAAAAAAAGGATAAGATTTACAAGTGCCTATGTGTTTTGAGCTACAGTAAAATTAAAACTTCTATTAAGCAGTTGTTTCAAGATCAAACAGTTTGATCATAATGGCAGTACATCTTGCATATATAAAATAATTACTAGGCCCTATTGTTTGTTCTTCAAAGCTGCTGAACATGATGCTCAGCGATTATGATTTTGCTTTTTGCAGTTGTGATTGATTACATTGAAAATAAATATTTTAAAAAGACATTAAATATGCCATACATTTATATCTAAAACAGTGCTCACCAATATAAGCTCAATATAGAAAAGGAAAAGTCTAAAATTAAATGTAACAATGATTTTAATAATATTTCATTTACAGTCACATTATTTATTTAATATTTATTTGATGTAGTTTGTCTTTGAGTTATTATGATATACAAAAGTTAATTATAATCACATTCTGGATATACACAGTATAGTTGAAAAAATGTTTGAAGTTCTAAACATGATAATTAAATCATTGAAATCCAGTCATGTGCAACTCAGCTGTACATACATGGGACACACCACTTGGCACTTGTTGATTTAATCCTGTGCAGGTTTGTGACCAATCTTTGTTCTTTCGCATTTAACTCATCAAACCAGGTGGTACATGGCATGACCATGTTCTAAATATATTTTCCATAGAGTTTGGTGTGCAAGGCAGACCCCTATTCTCATTTGAGACACGGACAGGATATCTACAAAACCTATGGGGAAAAATGTGTGAAAAAAAAAATCTCTTAGAAATTCTTTTAACATGATTTGTTGTAATCCTGAATTAACACGATTACATAAATTACAGAAATCCAACTTTTTAAAAATACATAATTATGAAGATATTCACGGGAACATTTAGTCTCACTTTATTAAGTTGTTGATCTAAAACCTGTAAATGGCACAGGTGCTTGAGGACAGGACTCCCCCCCCAAAATAGACCTCCGGGCCTGCAGACTTTTTCACATAAATATAGACCCCAGGGCCTGTTAGACTTTTTCACTTAAATTATATATGAATGACACA